TGTGATACTAAAGTGTGCCTGTGGGTTCCTCTAATAAAAGGTGGGCGGCAAGCATAAAGTACGCCTGCGATGTCCAATACCCCGTCCGACCGACCTCCACCCACCGACCTCCACCACTGCCCACAGGTACGAGACTTGGGAGGTGGCTGCAGCTTAAAAATTTAAACATGAGTGTGGGCTGGCACGTCGGTGCTGCCTGGCCCACTCGTGACACATGGTCTTGGCATGGCTATCGTGTGCAAGTGCTGTGGGGCCAACTCCCGGCAGATCATGGGGGGCCCCGACGCAGTATAATCGCTCCCACCAACCACCCCAATACCCTCACCCTGCTCCATCCCGTAGCCGAAGGGAATGTAAGATGGAGAGGAGTGTCTGGGATTGACTGTGGTGCTCGACCCTCTCGCCTGGAGGGCACCACTGGCAGCCTAGAGGTGCGCTGTAGGAGCTGCGACTGGCACAAGGAGATCCTCGTCCTCCGCCTCCTCCTCCTCCTCCGCCTCCTCCTCCTCCTCTTCCTTTCTCTTGGGCAGGCTGCGGTGCTGGCGCCTTTGCGCCCGCAGCCACTTCTTCTTTCTCCTCCTCCTCGTCTTCCTCCTACTCCTTCTCTCATCGTTCCCTTCTTCGTCTTCCCCTCCTTCGCGTCATCGTCTTCCTCCTCCCCTTTTTGCGTCGAGCGGACACGAACTGCTTTGCTTGCTCCGCCCTGTCAGTGCGACAGGCCTCCTCCTCCTCCTCATTATCCTCTTCCTCCTCTTCCTCCTCTTCCTCCTCCTCCTCCTCCTCCTCTTTCTTCTCCTCCTCCTCCGCCACCTCGTCCTCCTCCTCCTCCTCCTCCTCCTCCTCCTCCTCCTCCTCCTCCTCATCATTCATCATCCTCAAATCATCATCATCATCATCCATCATCATCTCATCATCATACTCCTCCTCCTCCTCCGACCTCCTCCTCTCATCTTCGCTCCTCTTCCTTTCCCTTTTGTCTTTTCCTCCTCCGTCCTCCTCTTCCTTCTCCTCCTCCTCCGCCTCCTCCTCCGGTCCTCCTCCTCCTCCTCCTCATTATCCTCTTCCTCCTCTTCCTCCTCCTCCTTCTCTTCCTTCTCTTCCTCCTCCTCCTCTACCTCCTCATCCTTCTCTTCCCCCTCCTTTTCCTCCTCCTTTTCCTCCTCCTCCTCCCCCTCCTCCTCCCCAGCGGCCCACCCCCCCGCAGGCCGAGACTCTCGAGGGCGAGGGCATGGCCTTTGGCCAACTTCGGGCCTCCAGCTGCTCTGTCGGCGGGACCGGTCCCCGTTTCTCTGGGAGATCGTGCCGCCTTCCGCGATCGTTCCGCTGGCTGCCGCTGGGAACACGGTTGAGCTGGAGGAGGAGGAGAAGGAAGAGGAGGAGGATGAGGAGGAGGAGGAGGAGGAGGAGGCTGACCCTGCGGGTGCAGAGGCGCCACACAGCCCGCCTGAGAGACGAATAAGAGGAGGAGAAGGGGGAGGAAGAGGAGGAGGAGAAGGAGGAGGAAAAGGGGCAGGAGGAGGAGGCGAGGCAGGAGGAGGAGGAGAAACAAAGAATATATTGTAGGTTCCAGGCGTGGCGCGCCACGAGACGGGCGCATCCCACGAAAAAACGAGCAGGCGAGAAGACAAGCATCACGGCTCCTGACGAGGGACGAAAACAACAGGCCGTTAGAGAGAAGAGGAACGAGAAGGATTATCACAGCCTCATAGGAAAAGGCAAAGAGCTGACCGACCCGACCCAACCCGATACCTCAGGCCACGATGGCCTGGTTACACGACCGATCCACTTACACCTCGACCGCTGCACTCCTGGCTCATCTGTTGAGGAGCGCTTCAGAGCGAGAGTGGGACGGGGGCTGCCTTCGAATGGCCTCCTAAGATGATTGGCTGTCGACAAAAAGGTCCGCGCGCCTCGTGAGAAATTACTCTGTGAACACTTCTAAAAGTTGAACTGTAGTTTTCCCTGTTTCTTTTTTTCCCAACCATCCTGTGGTGTTGGGTCCTCGTTTTGAAGAGACGGTGCCCCGCGTCTCCTTCCTCCTCTCCTCCTCCGCCTCCTCTCCTCTCCTCCTTTCCTCCCCTCCTCTCCTCCTCTCCTCTTCACCCACCCAGTACACCGTTTCGTGGCTCCATAGGGAGCTCCACCGAAGGTCCCAGTGCCCGCGCCCGCATGCGTCACCCACACCCATTTCGGCACACCCCTCACACGCTTCGTGGCTCCACAGGGAGCTCCGCCGAAGGCCCCAGTGCCCGCGCCCGCATGCGTCACCCACACTCATTTCGGCACACCCCTCACACGTTTCGTGGCTCCATAGGGAGCTCCACCGAAGGCCCCAGTGCCCGCGCCCGCATGCGTCACCCACACCCATTTCGGCACACCCCTCACACGTTTCGTGGCTCCATGGGGAGCTCCACCGAAGGCCCCAGTGCCCGCGCCCACATGCGTCAGCCACACCCATTTCGGCACACCCCTCACACGTTTCGTGGTTCCATAGGGAGCT